AACTGGCACCATACATAGTTACCCAATATTATTGACTATATTTCCTATGCTGTACTTACTTCCCCGTGACTATTTTGTGACTGCCAACTTGTGCTTCTGAGTGTCTTCACCTCTTCCACCCAGTGTCTCAACACTCCCTCCTCTCCAGCAACCTCCAGTTCTCTCTGTGTCTAGAAGCCTGTTTCAGTTTTGTCTGCTTATTTTATTTTTTAGGCTCCACATATCGGTGAGATCATATGTTATTTGCATTCTTCTAACTGACTTATTTCACTTAGCGTTGTACTCTCTAGGTGCATCCATGTTGTTGCAAATGGTGAGATTTCATTATTTTTCATGGCCGAGTAAATACTCCACTGTGTAAATGTACCACCACTTTTTATCAGCTCATCTACTAATGGGCTGTCCGGCTGCTTTCAGATCTTGGCTATTGTAAATAATACTGCAATGAACATAGGGAGGGGTGCGTATATTCTTTAAAATTAGTGTTTTGAGTTTCTTAAGATAAAATCCCAGAAGTGGAATCACTGGATTGTAAGGAAGATTTTTTTTCATTTTTTGAGGAAACTCCATACTGTTTTCCATAGTGGTTGCACCAACCAACCTGCATTCCCACCAGCAGTGCATGAGGGGTCCCTTTTCTCTATACCTCGGCCAACACTTGTCATTTATGGATTTATTGATGATAGCCATTCTGACAGGTGTGAGGTGTTTACTCTTTGTGGCTGTAATTTGCATCTCTCAGATCTTTAATAATGGTGAACATTTTTTTCATATGTTTATTTGCTATATATATATATATATATATATATATATATATATCCTCTTTGGAGAAGTGTCTGTTCAGATCCTCTGTCCATTTTATAGTTGGATTGTTTGTTTTTTGTTTGGTATTGAATAGTATGGGTTCTTTATAAAAATTTGGATATTAACTCCTAATCAGATGTAGCATTGCCAAATATGTTCTGTATCCAGTAGATTGTCTTTTCCGGTAATTTTTGATGGTCTCCTTTGCTCTGCAAAAACGTTTTAATGTTATGTAATTCCATTTGTTTAGTTTTTCTTTTGTTTCCCTGGTTCAAGGAGATATATCAGGGAAAAAATATTGCTATGAGACACAGGGAGACATCTTTGAAGGACAGAGCCATAAACAGTTACCTATGGTTTATGTTAAAATAAGGGTGGGTCTTACCTTAAAGACATACCTGATTGCGAGGGAGGTAACATAACACTGACACCTTTCACATTCAGCTGACATTCGTTAACTCCCAGAATGCAAAGTTGACCTTGCACCCTTCCTCCATCTTAGGCTGGCCACCTGAGATATAGGATTCAGGCAAAGGCCTCACCTGGGGCTGCTTACCCGCCAAGCCCTCTCCACATTTAAACATCCTGAGACTGGAGATCTGCTGTTCTACTGTGTATGGAATATAATGATTGCAACCACAGGTGATCTCTTTCCATGGGATCCTTTACATCTGTCCATCAGCTTCTATTATCTATGTGGACAGGATCCTATTCTCTAACATCATTGTTTATTATACCACTAGAGGCCTGATGAATGAAAATTGTGCAGGAGTAGGCCTTCCTTCCCCTGGCTGCCGGCAGCGCTTCCCTCTGGCACCCAGGACCCGGGCTTCCCTTGCAGCCCTGGCTTCATCTGGTTTAATTCACATATTATGCTTTTATTATTATATAATAGATTAGTAGCCCTGCACAGGAATCTGTGGGCTCGCCAGTAGCTTGTTGCCACCCTCCAGTAGCTCTCCGCCTGCTGCCCCATCTTCCTGTAGCTCCCCCAATCCCCATCCCTCCGCCACCACCTCCCCAGCTTGCTGCCCTGCCTCTTTCTATAGCTCTCTGCTGCCTGCTTGTATAATAGCTCAATTGCCTCGCCCTCCTGCTGTTCCTTGATCTGGTCGTTATGCAGTCGGTCATTACGCTTCATGGTGTAATGACATTTGCATATTACATCTTTATTATATAGGATTTGAGTTGAGTACAACTGGTCTTAAAGAGATACACTTCCAAATAGGCAAGAAATTGCCTTCTGATTTTGGCTCTGTGCAAATCTGCTTTGCTCACTCATTTAATTTAGTTGGAGGAACACGGGAACCCTGTATATTTTTGGAGCTTCGGCACAGGCCCCAGAGGAAGGAAATTTGGCACAATGGCAAAGACGTGGGCTTTGAATTCAGATAGACGTGGCTTTTGATGCTGTCTCTGTTGTGTATATCACAACATTGTTAGTGGTAAGTGGGATTAGTGACAGTATATTGGCATTTGGTAGAAGGCCAATAAGAGGTAGCTATTAAGAAAAAAAATCATCCCATTTCTCCCATTTCAGCTCCCTACTTGTGTGCAGTTTTAGTTTCATTTATCCGAAAGTGCTAGGTGGCTTGATCATCTCATATTTATCTTATTTGATGGTGGGTGTGGAAGGAGCAAATTGGGAAGAAATAAACAAGGATGAGGAAATGCATTCAGCCCAATGAGCAGGTGTGTTTCTTGTACATTTGTTTCTCTATCCTAGGGATAGGCATCCCTTTGGTGATCACTATCCTGAGGCAGAACTTGAGGAGGGAACTCTAATCTGGTTAAATTTAAAGCTTAATCTATTTTGATAATACATTTATTAAAAAAGATATATTTCCAAGTCCTTTTTCCATCAACTTGCTTTTTTTTTTCTTTGTTGGCTATCACATGGCTATATCATTTTTAGACTCTAAATGAAAAGCATGTGTAACAGCACAGAAATGCACTTCTAGTCCACGTTACCATGGGTACTGTCCAATATGAAATATGGGCTTTCTTGAAGTAGAACACACTACTTTAATTATTACATGCAGTTTGGAAACATGAATATTTATACAATTAGAGACTTGGAAGCATTGCCCAAATTCTTTCTAGCTGGACTCTGACATAGGCATTTTCCCGCCAATCTTTTCTATAAATGCAAACCAAAAGATGAAATTCTGTGGCGCCTTATTGGTTCTAAAGAAAAATGCTACAAAATTGGTCACATGAAACACAGTTGTTTGTTAGCACTGGGCCCCAAAGTTGTTTGGATTACTTTTCATTTGGTTGTTTGTTTGGTTGGTTTGTATCTATTTTCACTTGAGCTTTTATTGATCACATTTATCTTATTCCGCTCTGCAGCTTGGACTGTTGGAACAGTGCACTTAAGGCTGTGATTCAGGTCTTAGTATAATCCCATTGTAACTGACTTTTTAATGTTTCCCCCTTTCAGTTCTAATTTTTCAGTGCAAAGATAGATCTTATATATTTTTAAAAATTAATTTGACTCACAAAAATGAATAAAAGTATTCTCTTGACTTAAAATACATATGCATATACACACACAAGTACACTCACAACTAAAATGCAAAATCCAAATTATTTTTAGAATTTTGAGAATATGCTAGCTCATCATCATAAAGTACTGGGACTCTGATAAGGATTGATTTTTGAAATTTCTGGGATAAAAATAGTTAAGCATTTTTATTCTCTGCTAGTTTTATATATTGTTTACTTATTGACATTAAAACAAATTTACTTTAGTTCTTGGAATATAAATTGCTGGGCTTTGTATAAATTGTTGCACTAGGTGTTACACTTTATAATAAATCTTACATTAATAGTAGTTCTGTACAGAATTAATATCAAATTGGTGATATTACTTAGTAGGAAAAAAGAACTCATGCAGATATTAATAAATTGTAAGAGCTAGAAAGTTCCAGAATAGCATAAACTTAATGGTAGTACTTAAAAATGACTTTCAGTAGCAAGATCACATCTGCCTATTAAGTTTCTTTTTTTTTTTTTTTTAAATTTGAATATAAGCTGCTTATTTAAGATTTTTCCATGTGAGGAGCTGTGTCTAGTAATGAGTTTCCTCCTACCAGACAATTTATGCTAGATCTGCTTCCTACTTTAGTTTGGTTATGTCATGAGGGGGCAAATTTATCAGAACACCTAAGTATGATCAGGAAATACAGTTAGAACTGGGACTCTTCAGTTACTTTGCTTGAAAATATGGTACTAAGTTTTTATAATATTTTTTCATTGAGCCAACAGGAATAAAAGATACGAAACATGAAAAATACATCAAGTCTTGTTCATGATTATACCACTAGGTTTGTTGAATAAATGAATACATTTTCTTGAAAAATGGATTGTAATGTTTAAAGTAGGCAGTGATATTAAGATATCCCATTACTGCCTGTGAAACTTGACAAAGATCTGGAGGAAAAACTTATGGATATACAGTAATGCAATTTATTAAGTAAGCACTCTTTGGTACACTATGTGAATAAAGCCCCAAATCACCGGTTCTTTAAAAAAATGTTTTTAAATTAAATGTATGGGGGTGACATTGGTTAATAAAATTATATAGGTTTCAGGTGTACAGTTCTATAATACATCATCCCTATGTTCTCTTTCGTGTGGCCTTGGTGGTGTAGTGGGGAGCAGAGCTAGCTGCTTTCCAAATCACTGGCTCCTAATGACCACCGAGTGTGGTGAATCCATCAAGGAAAAGGAATCATTGGGTTTGAAAATATCATTCATTGGCTACAGATGCTGAAGTCAGAAAAGATGTGTGGACATCACTGATCCTCATGTACCCTGAGCTGTTGTGTAGTCACGTGGGTCCTTGGCAGTTTCCCAGAGGGAGGAAGCCCTGAATTAGGGAGGAAGTTCATGCAGTGAGTGCATGATCATGTGCACCTCCGTAAACTCTGACAACCACCTGTTATTTCAAGGATATGTCCTGCTGCAAGTTCATCTCTCCTTCTTTGCTCACTTGCCTCCAACTAAGACCACATTGAATGCAGAGCTTAGAGAGACAGGAAAGGAGTTCGGACGGGAGCCAAGAGGCCACAAAGCATCTTGGCCTCCGTTTTCCTCTTGCCGAGTGTGTGTCCACCATTGTGCAACACGGACAATGTTTCATCCAAACCAACACATTTTTGTTGTTGACTTAAGACATTCAAGGCATCTGAGACCTTTCTGTCTTAATCATATGCTTTGAACGGATTTCAGAGACCATGGAGGAAAGTAGTTGCTCCAGAGAATGAGAGTGGAGGAGGGGGAGTTTTCACTCAGAGTCGTCAGAGAAGATGTTTCCCTGGGACTTTTGAGGAAGCCTGGGTAAGAGACAGAACAGGGGCAGCAGACATACGGTGTGTGGACCGGGGTGGGAGGCAGGCTGTCCTCCGCCCAGCTCGCCCCAGACCTCCCTTCCCTGCACTCCTGGGGAACTGCGACAGCTGCTCACCATCCATCCATTTCATGATTTAACCTGCCAGCTTTTTCTGGGAGTGAAATAATCCTGATTCCTTTTGGCTTTCATCATGGAGGCTTTCCTGGCTGTTTAATCACATTCACTGTGTTTTTCTCCCATTCTCCTGGTCACAGTCACGAGGGGGACATGCCGCCGAGCGGAGTGGGAATGTGATGAAAACCACCTTTAAGTGTGGCACAGCTCAGTTACTCTGCTGGCTTCCTTTGGTTATCCCATGATCTGATTTCTGGGTGTAGAGGAGGCAGTTGCCTAAAGAAAATAGAGTCACCAGTTTTATTATTATTATTATTTTTTAATTTCTGAAAGAGACAATTTCAGTCATAGTCTATATTTGTAGCTCATTTCTCTCTGATTGTTTTCTGTGCTATGTTAATTCAAACTTTATGGACAAATGGATTGTATTCCACTTGATGTAATTGGAGTTAAAAGTATAGTAGTGGCTTCTGGTGGTGATGACACTCATTCACTCATTCATTCATTCACTCATTATTGAACGATGATTGAACTCCTGGCACGGGAAAAGCTCTGTCCTGATGTAGAATTATAAAGGAGAACAAAGGTAGGCATAGGGTCTATTGTGTCTCTTGGGGGAAGAAAGACATTTAGAAATAATCATATGAAGAATTATATAGGTAACATTAAAATATGTGACATAAAGAAAAGAGACACTGTTGTATGAATAACGGAAACTGAGTTGGAATGAGATAAGGTTCCTCAGGGAAAAGAAAGGCTCTTGAGCTGAATTTGAAGGGCAAGGAAGACGAACTCCCTGCACGGAGGGGCAAAAGTGTCTGGAACTGCATCACATGCAGAGGAAACACCCTGTCCAAAGGATATTGTATTTTTATCACATGGTCAGCAGAATTCCATTTCCTTAATCTGCAGGTGAAAGCCAAATGCTGCAGCCCCTTTAGACCCCTCCACTCCGAGTTTCCTGTTTCCCTTTCACCTTACTGTAAGGAGCCCCGCAGTGAGAGGTCCCCTTGCATGCTCATCTTGTCCGGGACTTCAGTCTTTCCAGATTAAACAACAAAAGTTTGCATTGTGCTATGCCATCTTCAATTTCAGAGCTGAGTGATTGATTTGCAAAATGAAATGGAGAAGTCAAGATAAGCTTACATAACAGGTAATCTATCTGGCTCAGGTGAATGGAAGTGTGGCTGAAACATTACATCTGTAGTGTTTGTGTGGGTGTCTTTTAATGGATACTTCTAGGGCTTTGACATATGTAGCTAATCAAAAAGATTTCCATTTTTTTCTTTAAAGAATGTATTCTAATTCCTTAGAGCTCTGCTTTGGTATTCTTGAATCAGAAACAGCACTTAGCTTTCACCTTCAATTCCAGATTTCATTTAATGCCCTACTCACTGAGCCCTCTCTGTCTGTCTGTGTGGGCAGGCATTGTCACAGAGGCACACTGTTCTTTCTCCTGCTGGTGGAGAATAGATGCCAAGGGTCTCAAAATCTCCCAAATTCTAAGAAAATGTCATTGACTAGGGCAGACTCCTTATTCAGCAGTGACCACCATATGTCTCCAACCCAGATTTCCTGATTCTGGCTCCTGCATGTCCCAGTGGACTTGCGCTTTGATCTCTTGTATCTGCCCTATTAATCAAAACTCCCGCAATTCCTTACCTTTTCTTGAATTCTGTAGCTTCTAAAATTTGGCCAACTCACCCTACTGGCTATAGATTAAATGTCTCAGTCTTGAGCCCTAATTAACCATCCATGCACAGCTGTTCTTTAAGTACTGAGTAGAAATCATGCCTTGGAGCTGTGGTGATTGTTTGATATTTATCAAGCCATCAGTAGGGGGAAAATGCAAGAGAGAGCGGACTCAGGAAGTTCAGTGTGTCCTTGCACCTGCTATTTCTTAAGTACCTGTGATTCAAAATAATCATATGCCAAAGTGGCAAATTTTGGGGTGACATATTCTGGTTTCACTGTGTAATTGGTTTAATGATTAATCATAAATTTATAGTGATATTTTTGTATAATCACAGGAGACAAAGTGATTACACAAAATATCCAAAACTTTGTATAATCACAGGAGACAAAGTGATTACACAAAATATCCAAAACTATATAATTTTAAATATATATATCATTTAAAAATGACATATATATTTTAAATATATACATTATTTTTATATATATCATTATTTTAAATATATATATCAGTTTTAAATATTATAAATATATAATATTAGCAAACTTACTTTAGCCTCATTTCATGGAAAAATGCCCTCCAATCTTTCATTTATTTATGAATACATTCCTTTACAATTTAATATTTACTATTTGAGAATCTGGGCTGTGTCAGGCACTGTACTATGAATTTTGTGGTGAGAACAACATGATTTCTGTCTTGAGAAGCTAATGTTTTATTGTGGGAGACAGTAAGGAAAATTATATTATAATACAATATGATCAGTGTTATATTAGTGTGATACAGGCACTATGGGAGTTAAATGTAAGCACTTTCATCAAATTCGTGGGTGAGATGTGGCATTCCGGAAACACGTGTGTGATTGTCTCATTATATATTAAATGCAACAAATTCCAATGTTCAAATCAAAGTTTAGTTAAATAGGTGGATATGAAGTCCTCTTCTGTGTAGCCACTCAAATAGAAGTTGCTAGTACACTTATAGATCCTTTTAGAATCATCAAACTGTTTTATTTAACAACAACAACAAAAAAAATGGTCATAGTTCTTCAACTGCCAACAAAAACTTCTACCTACATCATAATTCCAAGGAAGTTCATCTTGTCACTAAATAGGTTTTGAGGACAAATTATGTGAATGGGATTCAGGTGCTAGTTTCGTGCTTTCTACATTCTCCTCAAGCAAGACCAGGGCTCTGCTTCCTACGTGTCTATGAAAGCTAATGTCCTGTTAGCTTTGTAATCACACCTCATTACCTCCCCCCAGTACACGAACATTCCTCAAAAGGTTACTGCACATTTAAGACCTAGATAAGCATGGAATCATATATTTTGACTAAATATAGTTAACAATTATCGTATGATATTTTGTTGTTTTATTATTTTGTGTTAGACCTTTAATACCTTCAAAGCTTGGTAATACAATATAGACGGGAAGGAAAGCAATATGTAACTATATACACAGTAGCTACTCAGATATTATTGAATACAGGATGCAAATGTGTTTTATTAAAAACATATCCTTCTAGAAGATTTTCCAAATAAATTATATCAAAATACTTAATGTAAGATAGTGATGGAGCATTGGAAAAGGTGCTCCTCCAAGGGCTCAGCATGAATTCATTTCTGTACTTCTCTTTACCGTGGGGTAGGTGTCAGTCTTTCTTTGTAAGTTCTTTGCAACATCTCTAAAATAATGCTTTCCCCTCTTTGACTCAAGTTGAGTATCAAATATTATGAATAAAATGTCCAAAACTTTCAGGGAAGGAAGGCAAAGAGAAAACTGCATGACTTTTTTTTTTTTTTTTTTTTTTTTTTTAAGCTATGGCATCATCTGACAAGTTCACCTGAAGGTCATCTGTGTAAAGAATGTCACTTTCCTTGACCTGGTGTTCACCGGAACCCTTGATGACATTTACAACTTTGTAAGCATAGACATGGATTTGTAGGAAACCAGCAAGCTGCTCAGCAGAGAAGTGAGGATGAGCCTCCAACCCACAAACTTTGCTCCTTACGACTAGTGATTTCTGACTTTGTGGGTGGGGGTGGGGTGGGGAAATCTGTGCTTGTTGATGTAGCTGTGGTTATACTCTATCAATCTCATTACAGATTTCTTTTCCTTTTCTTCCACTAACTCTATTATACATTGGTCAGTATGTTTCAGGATAGTGAACCAGCAAGATAAACTGGCTTTCCAGCTAGATGATTTTTTTAGTAAGTTCCGTAAAACCTTGATTATCTGCATGAGAATTATGATGTTTGTAAGATTTTGTAAATTATGTGTATGAGAACTATCTGATACCCTTTTTCTTGAATTATTATAATAGCTATCAACAGGTTTCCTTCCTTCTAATCATCCATGCCCTAACTCCATATCAATCTGGTATCCCACTGTTATTTTATTTATTTATTTAAAAAAAATCCTCGCCTGAGGATATTTTTCCATTGATTTTTAGAGAGAGTAGAAGAGAGAGAGAGAGGGAAAGACAGAGAGGAATATTGATGGGAGAGAAACACACTCATTGGTTGCCTCTTGCACGAGCCCTGATCAGGGACCAGGCCCTGCAACCGAGGTATGTGCCCTTAACTATTGTAGAATTGAACCTGAGACCCTCCAGTCCATAGGCACTATCCACTGGGACAAACTGCCAGGGGCCTGGTATCTCACTTTTAAACAACCTGTACAGCAAAATGAAATCATCACCCATTGGAGCAGCCTGCTCGTGGAACTCGAGGCCCTATCTCTTGGGCTGTCATAACAAACTGCCACAAACTGGGTGGCTTAACACATCAGAAATTTATTCCTTCACTGTTGCAGAGGACAGAAATCCAAAGTCAAGGTGTCAATAAGGCCATTCTTTACCTCTTCCAGCATCTGGTAGCTGTTGGCATTTCTTGTCTCGTGGCTGCAAAATTCCAATTTTTACATCAGAGTTCTTCCTCTTCTCTTCTCTTCTCTTCTCTTCTCTTCTCTTCTCTTCTCTTCTCTTCTCTTCTCTTCTCTTCTCTTCTCTTCTCTTCTCTTCTCTTCTCTTCTCTTCTCTTCTCTTCTCTTCTCTTCTCTTCTCTTCTTTGTCAAATATCCCTGTGCATCGCTCTTACAAGGACACCTGTCATTCGGTTTAGGGCCCACCCAGGTAATCCAAGATGATCTCTTATCTTAAGACTCTTCACTTTGTTACATTTGTAAAGACTTTTTCCCAAATAGGTTACATTCACAGGTTCTGGGGATAAAGATATACAGGATGTCCCTCAAAATGCATACATACTTTAACAGCTGATAAGTCAATTTTAAAAATGAAATTTATTTTAACAAACACTGCCTTATAATTATTCAAAGAGCGTGCACAGATTTTTTTGAACATCCTATAGACATATCACTGGGGAGAGTGGCGGTAGCATTCAACCACTACATCATTCACATCCAGCCCCAGCTCAGCTATGCATCCTTACTGCCCAGTGCTTCTCAGTGTATTTCTGTTTATTTCTTGATCTTTAACCCACCTCCAACCCACAAACTTTGCTCCTTATGACTAGTTATGTTGTTCCTATGGTTCCTCTGCAGAGCATGCCTCCCCTTCCTTTTTTACATGTCCGCGTCCAAGCTTCCTTCAAGTAGACTCTCCACCCCCACTCCCTTCCAGGCGGAGTCTGCTGCCTTCTGTTTGCAGTGTCATTGCATCCTGAACACGCTTGTATTGCTCACCGAATTTTATTGTCCTCTTTCCTCTGTGTATGCCCGTGTCTCCCGTAGATCTTTTCTTAAAGATTATGGACTCTGTCACCTTTGACTTTCTTATAGGCTCACACAGTGCCTGTAAACAATAGCAATTTACTAAGTGTGGAATATGAGTCACCGAGTCTCCAACTCAAAACCTATTATTTCTTAAAATTTAACTAATAACCTCCCCGCCCCCCCCTTTTTTTTTTAAAAAAAACCCCCACAACAACAACAACAACAACATTCTCTAAAATCCTGTTCCATTCTGTGTAATTTAGCATTTGGACTATTGATTACTTCGTGTTCTGGTAGCTCTTCATCTATCTGGCCTGAGCTTTCTCAGTCACCTAAGTTAATACCTCTTGAAAGAGAATTTATATACTCTCTGGTGTTTGTATTGCAAATATGGAAACAACTTGCTAAAGACTTGTTAACTTAATCCCCGGTGGAATCTTCGAGAATGCAAATATTTCTTGGGAGGAAGATAGACTGGTAGGAAATCAAACTCTATTTCTCAGCAATTTACTAATGCTTTAGAAATAAGATAAATTATGTCCCAATAGGAATTTCTAGTTTCTGGGTTTAATAAAACTGTTAGCCTTCTTGAAACCAGTTTATTGAATTTCATTTTATGTTCCCTCATTATGTCTTAATGACAACCACAGTGTACATTCATATGTTTTATTCTTATTTACCTTGGCTTATGAAATTTAGATGGAAGGAATCACCAACTAGTTAAGTAATACTTGAACTTTGATTCTATGTTTCAAAGTCTTAACCGAAATCTCAGCCACATGGAATCATGAAATTATTATATGCCTACTTTGGGGAAACCACCAGTTTAAATACAAAGGTATTGTGTTGTATGATAATGTACTCTAAGAAATTTTCTTTTCTTTTCTTAGGTATCATCAGCAATTATTTATTTGGGTAATGGAAAATTTATGTTTTCTATAGTCTTGTAAAATTTACCATCAATATCATTTTTAAAATGCACCTGGTTTCAGGTGTCATTAAAAACTCTATATTTGTGCCACATTAACTGAAAAAATTTGGCCCCAGAAGAAGTAGAAAATTAGGGCATAGTTTTAGGCAAAATTGGGTATTTATTTTAGATGGAAAGTATATAAAATTCAATGGATTCTTGCCCTCTGACCTAAAACCAACTAAAACTCAACAATTTTGCTATGATTTCCTTTGAGATTTTATATATTTTCTCAGCTATAAAATGTGAACTTAGGTCAAGACGTATATACTGAAGCCTCAATTTTAGCAAGAAAAATATTTATGAACTAAAAGAAAAATACTTAGGAGAATTCAACAGAAACTTGGTGGCTGAGTAAGAAGCTTTAAAACTTGAACAATCAACTTAGAGTATTTGGGACAAATGCACGTCTTGTCAGATTTGCTCTAATTTTTCCTTTTCTTTTCATAGTTCAAACTACAGAATTCTGTACAGGTTCTTCTGTGATGCCTTATGATTTTCTGATGGGTTCTATAGAAGAATTTCTCTTAATTTTTTTATTTGCCTTCAATGTCATGACTCTTTAATTTGAATCCCTCTTTCTTTCTCCCAAGGCTCTTGTTTTATGAGGAATTTACAGAGTTCATTTGAAAACTGAATTGAGGGTGCAATGAAGGAATCTAGGAATACTACACCCAAAGTCCTTTCCTTGTGAGTACTAACAGCATTCTCTGGACAAGGACACAGGGTGGTGACATATTCCAGGAAAAATATCCCAAGAGGTGAAGAGGTGGTCTCTATCCTCTTTCTTATCTAGACATCCAAATTTTGAAGCTCATGTAATTTTCAAAGCATTTTCTTCATTGTTTTTTTCCAGGAGTGTGTTGAGCCTTTATACATAAAGCAAACATTTAGGGGCCCGAGTATACTTATCTCAAAAATCTCCCGAAGGTCCTTTATCCGTTTTTCTTTCTCCCATTTCCATTCTTCTCTTCTCTTCTTTTTCTTTCCCTTCTCTTCTTTTCCCCAATAATCTCTTTACTTCTTTCAATGAAAATATCTATGCCCACATTGTTGTTATCTTTAGGAGGGGATAGAGGGGACAGGATGTCTGTCAATTTCTACTATAAATCAAAGGCCCAGTGCATGAATTTGTGGGGTCCCTCTGCTTGGCCTTCAGGATCAGGCCAAAACCGGCTCTCTGGCATCCCCAGAGGGGTTCCAGATTGTGAGAGGGCACAAGGCCAGGCCGAGGGACCCCACCAGTGCAACAATCAGGGCCAGGGAGGGATGTGGGAGGTTGGCCAGCCAGTGAGGAACCGTGGGAGAGCTCCAGGGTGTGTCTGGCCCATCTTGCTCAGTCCCAATTGGCTGGACCCCAGCAGCAAGCTAACCTATCAGTTGGAGCATTTGCCCCCTGGTGGTCAGTGCATGTCATAGCAAGTGGTTGAGAGGCCTTAGTATACATACCATTAGCATATTATGCTTTAATTGGTTGAAGGGATGACTGGGCGACCAGAAACTTAAACTATTAGGCTTTTATTATATAGGATGCTGCATTTTCTGATTAATTTTGTAATATATTATTTGAACTATTTTATAACTCTCCTTGAAGCCTTAGCTCCCACAATTTTATTTCATGTATCTTCTGCTCTATTCAAATTAGACTTTGCTATCATGTACACATTCCTTCAATCAACAGATATTTTTGAATGTCTACTACAAGCCAGGCACTTTTCTGGGCTTCAAAGATACACTAACAAACAGAATAGACACACTATGCTTCATGGACCTTCTATTCTAGCATCTTCCCGGGATCTCCAGCTTTGCACATTTGCTCATCTTTGGTGGTGTCTCCTTACATGTTTTCCCAATCCTAACTTTGTTTGGTATTTCTTAAACTGGTTCCTATATTTCAAAGCTAAATTTAGATTCTCTTTAACCCACAAAGTGCCTTTAAAAGTAGGCTTACTGTTAACATTTGTAAGGCCTAGGTCTGAAGTATGAATGAGATCCACATATAATTTGTCTAAATATTTAAAAAATATAAATCTAGCTAAAAACGTTGATAGCTAATTAAAAGTGAAAAATGTAGAAGACTATAGTGTTGAAATATCTGAAAGTTGACATAGTATCCAAGATTACTGTTTGCTATTATTGTGCATATCTGGGTTGGCTCAAGATTAACTGGCATTGTTCGGATAAGTAATAAAATAAAAATATAATAAATTATTGTCTCAATATTTTTTTTACTTTATTTTTTACTTTATTTCAGAAAAGTTAACAATGATGTTATAATCAAGATTTTTTTTTTACATAATTGTGTTATATTTACAGTGATGTAAATTTAGACTGCATTTTTTGAGTCACCATAGTTCTTAGACTTTTTTTTTTTTAATTTTCATTTTGGAGAATTCTATTGAGGCCATCGTAACTAAAACTATCAATAAAATTCTTAAAGCGGTATGTTATTCTAAATGACCATAAATGTTACACATCATGTTTAGAATTTTTATTTAATTTAATCCTCACCTGAAAAATATTTTAACTTATTTTTTTATTTGTTAATCCTCTCCTGAGGATATTTTTTCCACTGATTTTTAGAGAGAGTGGGTGGGAGAGGGAGGGGGGGAGAGAGAGAGAGAGAGAGAGAGAGAGAGAGAGAGAGAGAGATATCAGTCTGTTGCTTCCCATATGTGCCCTAACCAGGGATCCCACCTGCAACCTTTTGGTGTATGGGCGATGCTCTGACCAACCAGCCAGGGCATGTTTAACATTTTAACAGGCAGCTTTATGAAAAAAT